GTGTGTGTGTGTGTGTGTGTGTGTGTGTGTGTGATCTTCTTTATCTATTCATCTATGGTGGACATTTCGGCTGCTTCCAGAGTTTGGCTACTGTAAATAATACTGCAATAAACAGGGATATAGATCTTTTTGAATTAGTGTTTTCATTTTCTTGGGTAAATAGCTAGCAGTAGCATTACTGGATCATATGGTAATTCTATTTTAAATTTTTTCAGGAACTTCCATTCTGTTTTCCACAGTGGCTGCACCAATTTGCGTTCCTACCCATGGTACGTGAGGGTTCTTTTCTCCTCACATCCTGTCCAACACTTATTATTTCTTGGGATTTTGATTTTAGCTATTCTGACAGGTGTAAGGTGATCGCTCACTGTGGTTTTGATTTGTGTTTCCCTGATGATGAGTCATGTGGAGCATCTTTTCCTGTGTGTTTGCCATCTGGATGTCTTCTTTGGGAAAATGCTTATTCAGGCCCTCTACCCATTTTTAAAAAAAATTTTTTTTAACGTTTATTTTTGACAGAGAGAGAGAGAGAGAGAGAGAGAGAGAGAGAGAGAGCATGAGCAGGGAAGGGGCAGAGAGGGAGGGAGACACAGAATCCGAAGCAGGCTCCAGGCTCCAAGCTGTCAGCACAGAGCCCGACTTGGGGCTCAAACTCACGAACGGCAAGATCATGACCTGAGCCGAAGTCGGACGTTCAACCGACTGAGCCACCCAGGCGCCCCTGAAAGCAGCATCTTAATGGTCCCTTCTCGTTATTTGTGGTAGTTACGTTTTTTTTTTTTTTAATATTTATTTGTTTTTGAGATAGAGAGAGACAGAGCATGAGTGGGGGAGGGACAGAGAGAGGGAGACACAGAATCTGAAGCAGGTTCCAGGCTCTGAGCTGTCAGCCCAGAGCTCAATGCAGAGCTCAAACTCACAGACCGCAAGATCATGACCTGAGCCGAAGCCGGACACTCAACCAACTGAGCCACCCAGGTGCCCCTCCTGTGCCCATTTTGTAATCAGATTATTTACTGTTTTCAGTGTTGAGTTGTACAAGTTCTTTACGTATTTTGGACATTAACCCGTTATCAGACATATCATTTGCAAATACGTTCTCCCATTCGGTAGGTTGCCTTGTCCTTTTCTTGATGGTTTCCTTCGCGACGCAAAAGCTTTTTATTTCGGTGTCGTCCCAAGAGTTTGACTTTGCTTCTGTTCCCCTTGCCTGAGGAGGCATAGCTAGAAAAAGGTTTCCGTGGCTGATGTCACAGAAATTACTGCCTATGTTTTCTTTTAGGAATTTAATGGTTTCAGGTCTTGCATTTAGGTCTTTAATCTATTTTGAGTTGTTTCTTTCTGTGTAGGGTGTAAGAAGGTGGTCCAGTTTCACTCTTTTGCATGTCGCTGTCCAGTCTTCCCATCACCGTTTGTTGAAGAGACTTTTTTCCTCATTGTAGAGTCTTACCTCTTTTGTTGTAGATTAACTGACCATGTAAGTGTGGGGTTATTTCTGGCTTCTCTATTCTTTCCATCGAACTGTGTGTCTATTTTTGCACCGATACCATACTGTTTTGATTACTACAGCTTTCTGGTATATCTCGAAATCTGAGATTGTGATGCCTCCAGCTCTGGTTTTCTTTGTCAAGATTACGTTGGCTATTCAAGGTCTTTTGTGGTTCCACACAGATTTTGGGACTTTTTTGTTTCAGTTCCTTGAAAAATGGTGTCGAAAACACGTATATTCTTAAGTCTCTGTTTTAAGGCTCCAATTCCTTATTTTTCCTCCACCGTATTTTTATTTTGTGATAACTTCAGACTTGCAAAAATGCTGCAAAGATAGTAGAGTTTCCATATACGCTTCACCCACCTTCCTCTGATGGTAAAGTACCCACGGTACGTCTGCCAAAACTAAGAATTATCACGGAGGGATCAATGATTTAGCTATCGTTATTAGCTAAACTCCAGACTTTATTCAGATTTCACCACTTTCCCACCCCCGTCTCTTTTCTGTTCCAGGATCCGTTCCAGGCTCCCATGCTGCATCGGTCGTGTCTCCTGAGTCTCCTCCGGTTTGTCACAGCTGCTCAGTCTTTCCTGGTTTTCCACGACCTTCGAGCTTCTGAAGGGTAGTGATCGGCTAGTTTGTAGAATATCCCTCAGTTCGGGTGTGTCCGATGTTTTCTCGTGCTTAGCCTCAGTTTGGGGGAGGAATGGCACAGGGCTGCGGTACCCTTCTCACTGCCACACGTCAGCTTCCCTGAACGTGGGCGATGCGGACCCTGATCCCTTGGTTAAGGTGGTGACTGCCAGGCTTTTCTCTGATAAAGTCACTGTTTTCCCCTTCCCATTCCCTAGTTTTGGGAACAAGTCACCAAGTCTGGCCTGCACTCAAGGGGAGAGGGGGTGAAGCTCCATCTGTGGAGGGGCAGACTATCTACAGATATGACTGAATTTTTCTCTAAGAAAAATCATCCCTTCTCTCCACTTATTTATCCAATCATCTCATCATTATTAGTGGGGACTCGTGGATATTTGTTTCATTCTTTGGATTATAATCCGAACTGTCATTATTTATTTTGTTGCTTGAATGATTCCAGTTTTGACCACTGGGACCTCTTTCCGGTTGGTTCCTGAGTCTTTTAGACATGCCCTCCCCTATCTGCCACCCGCTCCGCCCAGCACCTGCTTACTTTCCGACACTCCAGGGCACTCCAGGCTCCCCAGTGGCCCGGGCCCTAGAATCGGCCATTTCTCTGAAGGTAGCCCCGGGTCCTCCTGGCAATTAGAAACCAAGATGTGGGTGCTGGGTGTGCTTGTGTACCGGAGCGTCCCTGTCTCTGGGCCTCTTGGTGGACAGAGGCGGGTAATACACGTGTTCTGTCTCTGCTGACCCATGTGTATCCACTACCTGTCATCGTGCTCCACTGTGTGTGTGCGTGCGTGAGTGTGCGTACAGAGACACGCTGAAACAAACGTGAGTTCACGTTAATGCTAATTCCACACGAATTCCCACACTAGGCACCAAACTGTTGTCTCCTCCTTCCAGCCTGTCACTTCTATTCCTAACACTTCTCGGCTACTAGTCCTGGACGTTCTAGATCTCGTTCTATATTAAACAAGAGGCACAGATCATGACAGAACACCTTATCTTTTCTTTTGTTTTCTGTTCTCTTCTTCTTTTTTTTTTTTTTTAATTTTTTTTTTTTTTAACATTTATTTATTTTTGAGACAGAGAGAGACAGAGCATGAACAGGGGAGGGGCAGAGAGAGAGGGAGACACAGAATCTGAAACAGGCTCCAGGCTCTGAGCTGTCAGCACAGAGCCCGACGCGGGGCTCGAACTCACGGACCGTGAGATCATGACCTGAGCCGAAGTCGGACGCTTAACCGACCGAGCCACCCAGGCGCCCCTGTTCTCTTCTTTTTTGAGAATTGTTTCTGGTAACTGTTAACTATGTCAATGAACGTGTATGTGCACATCATAATAACAACAACAAAAAAATCAAGGCTTAGCAATGTATACACCTTTCCACATTTTTACTTGGAAGTTGGTTACAGAACGGGTTAAGCAAACAATGCTCCCTCCCCAGTGGGGCTGGGAAGAGGCAGGGCAGTGAACAGACATCTGAGGCTCTGAGCCAGGGGTCCACCTACGTTTCCTCACAGGACCGCTCCGTAAATATTTTAGGCTTTGGAGGCCTCACGTTCCCTGACCTGAGAGATCTGGGGATTGTTCTTGGCTCCTGTCGGACCACGACGACAAAGATCATTATTCTGATAGCATTTACTGACTGTTCACCCTGTGCCAGCTCCTAACTCCTTGCATCTGTACTGACTTCATTCTTACAACAGCCTTGAGATACGGTATGCTCTATGGGCACGACTAAACAGGGACAATGAGGTTCAAACCCCTATTAAAATTTGGTTAAAAAAAAAAAAAAACCTGTCTTCGTTCTTGGTCAGTTCCATAGCTGTGACCTGAATCATGGCAGACCACCAGTAATAACAGCTCGGCCCCCCTGGAGCCTGGGCATGGGCCTGTAACCAAATTCTGGCCACTAGGATATGAATGGAAGTGATGTGCACTGCCTCCAGATTGTTCTAGTAAAAGGAAGGGGCACACGCTTCCCTAGATGCTTGCCCCCTTGCCATTGCTGCGAAAGGTCATGAGCTGGGGCAGACACTTTGGACTGTGAGATAGAAGCCAGTACGTGGAGAAGAGCAAAATAAATCCCTCGGTCAGTCCTGGACAGGCGACTTCCGAACTGCTGATGGGGATTCATTTCTATCTTGTGTAAAGTGACTTATTTCGGGTTTATCACAGCGGCTTAGCTTGGATCCTAAGTGAAACATTTCAATATATGCCCTTTATAACTGTAAGAGTAAGCATACTTTAAAATTATATAAAGCAGAGTACATACCTCAGGAGAAGCATGAGAGGCAAAGAAGTCTTCCTCTTTGGGTGGAGAGGACAAAGGCGGAACCACACAGCTATCAAGCCACAGCTAGAGCAAAAACATAAAGTGTGTGCTGAGTCCTTCACCTGGCTTTAAAAGTTTTTCTTTAATACTCTCACTCCCTTTCTAGAGACCTGTTTGCTAATGATTGGTACTTTCCGCTATTATACAATCAGTTAACAGGCCTACACGGGGCCCCTGAGCACATTTTGGTTATGTATCAACCCAGTAACTTTTGCTTCCAAGCCTTGAGGATGTCAAGACCAGGTTCACAAGCCGTTTCTGAAAAGGAAAGATGGAGGACTTAATATCCAAGTGCATATTGTATCTAGAGTATCATCAATCCTCATTTTTAGTGGATTCCATGTTTGCAAATTCACCTACCTGCCACAATTTATCTGTAACCCCCAAGTCAGGACTTAAGACACTTCTGCGGTCCTTCATAGACATGTGTGGATCAGTAAAGAATGTAGGTCACCCCGAGGTGCACGTTCCCAGCTGAGGCTGAACAAGGTGACTCTCTGTCTCCTTGTTTCAGCTCAAACTGTAAGTAAGTGTCCTTTTTTGTGGTCGATTTAGCGACACATCTTTCACATTGCTGTGCTTTGTTGGTGATTTCATTGGTTAAAATGGCCCCCAAGCCCAGTGCCGAAGTCCTACCTTGTGTTCCTAAGCACAGGAAGGCTGTGATGTGCCTTATAGAGAAAACACAGAATGAGGTAAGCCCCACCCCCCACCCCCGGGCATGAGTTACAGTGCTGTGGACAGTGAGTCCAATGTTAATGAGTCAATAATTATATATTAATGATATATTAAATATTATATATATATATCTATAGATATGTCTAAATATATAGATATCT